TATATATATATTAAATTTTTATAATTTTCAATCAAAGCATCTAACTATTTTTTTTGTGAGATAAATCATGGAATGACAAAGTATCACGCCCCTAACTGTTAAGGCATGACTTCAAAGCAACCCACTAGGTTGATGTGAGATAGACCAATCCAATTTCCATAAATAGGTAACTTTGTTTTATGTTACATTGTTATTACAGCACATTACAAATGTCAAATAACGGTCAAACATTTAAAGTAATTAATTGTCTAGTTGACAACAACTAAGCACAAGGATAAACGATGGGTACCTATCCGTTGATTTGTCTAATTGTTTCATTTATTATATTTATAGTCATTAAATCAAATTATATTTATAGTCAAACTTGCTGCCAAAGTTATTTTTCAATTAAACTAGTTCTTGATTCAAACTAGTTGTTGAGTCAAATTAATTGTTTTGTAAAATTAATTGTTAAATCTTATATATACCCTTAAATATTTATAATGCGAGCCCCACAATAACATTTTGCTAGTTCTCCTCACTATTTTTAAATTATGTGAAATTTTAACTTCACAATTTTTCTACCAAATGGATCTTTATGATTTAGATTTCAAGTTTGAGTAAAACTTTACAAAAGATGTATCAAATAATTTTTTGATCCAATATGGTACATTTAAAATTTATTTGAGAGACATATGTAATAAGTAGCAACAACTCTAAGACATATATAAAAAAAAAATTAACATATGAAAACTTGTTAACATAAATGGATTAACACTTCTACTTGATCATCAACTTAAACATAAAGTCATGAAAAGTACTGTGTATGATGTTACTTCATATTATAAAAAGTCCTTGAGAATAATAACAAATATGCCAACTGAGAAATGATGCAATTTATTTTATAGATTAGGTCTTTTAACACTACAGAAATGCACGGCCCGTATTACATTTCAAACTAACGTGTCTAATTCTATTCCTAATTTTTTAATGGCATGTGACATCGCATGAACGTAGTGAAAAATTTGGTATCAAATGGGACTGCTTTGTGACCAATCCCTTGCAAAGTTGCATACATTAAATCCAAAACACTTATCCAAGTGGAATTAATTAGGCACATACGATATATATACCAAACGATTGATCCAACACAGTATATGCTCCTCAAAATTCCCCTACTGTCCCTAGAACAATGAAACGACTACAGCAAAACCAAAACGTACTCATACCAACTACTGTAGTAGCCGCGTTGGACCGAAATTCTCAACGTTCACGAACTATTTTACTACAATCCAAAAACTTCAAACATCCCAACGCAAACTGAAGGGGTAACAAGGCGCTACTCTGAACTAGCAATTACCATACGCAATCAACCACTGAATTGTCACAGTAATATCCACGTTTCCAAAAGCATAAACCCGACATGCAGACCCATGTTCGTGCCTCGGTTTGACCGATTTTGTACCCTCTCTCTGTCTGTCCTTGTCTTTCATTCACATGTTCTTCTTTGTCTACTTCCTTATCCTTTTCTCATATTACTCGCATCCCTTCATTGTGTTTCACTCTTCTCCTTTCTCTCTTAAAACTTCACTTTCTTCTCCCTCAGCTCAATGCTGCTTCAGATTTCTGGAGGGTATGTTTCTAACCTCTCTTTTTCTCTCTCTCTGTGTTTTGAACGTTGGATTGAGTTTTGGCAGCTTCTCTGCTTGTCTAGTAAGAGACATGGGTGAGAAGAAATTTTAAATTTTTAAAAGCGGTTTAGAATCCTTGAGGTTCCAAACTGCTCCAAAACAGCATATTTTGGCTTAGGATTTTTCTCCATACAAAGCCTTTCAGTTTGAGAACTTACTTTCAAACACATTTTTTTTCAGGTAATCAAGTGAAATTATGTAATTGGTATGAAATATTCATGTGATTGTCATATACTCTCAACTATCTTTAATGAAGTCTCCGCTCCCAACTATGATTATTTCATATACAAAAACTTGAGGCTTTAGTTAAGAAGACTGAATTCACTATGGCTGGAACCATCGACTTGTTGGTGAGATGCACTCTTTTGAACACATTTTATTATAGACCGAAATTTATTAAAAGTAGCACAATTTTGTGGACTCATTTTATTCCGTAGTTTTTAAAATTTGAATTAGAAAGGGAGGTAGAAAGAGTGGGCTAAAGTAAATAATG